ATGAATGTAAATGGCTGCAGCAAAACTAGATCAGAGGGTTTTTTTCCATCATCGGTAACACATGCCTCACTTAAGTCGTTGAGATTCCATATTGCACATTTTCCTATGACCACTTTTAGGGGAGCCACTGATTCTAAGTAAACGGTGGAGAAACTGCTCTGTCTTAGTCACTGAAGAGGAGTGTGGGAAGAATTGGAGGACTACAAACCCTTAATAATTTAGCTTAAATCCTCTATCGGGAGTGCATGAGCTATGAGTTTGAATTAAAAGGATACGTTATCACTAGCCTGTATCCTCAGGCAAACCATTTTGGCCTGTTTCACAGATTTGCTGGAGGCAGAAGAAAATTTGTGAATGGGTAAAAGAGACTTAATGGCAACATCTGAGTCAACTGATGAGTGAAAATTTGAAATGCCTAGCGGGGTTTTCCTTGGAGTAATTTTCTTGGCTAATTTTATTCTGTTGCTCATGATTTTTAAAAAAGGGCTGGTTGGGGATATCACAGGCAAAAACAAACCCAAATTATAATTCATAAGTAAGAGAAGAAAGAAAAGACAGTGTATGACATCACTGTTATTCTTCATATGCTTGAACAAAAAAGATGAATTCTGAAAGCTCAGTAAGCGCAAGCTCTGCTTTTTGACAAATTATTTAGTCAGCAATTCAAGAGGAGCATGAGATTGTGAACCACATTGTTATGAGGTGGAAAGCTCCATCAATTTTGTGTTGTAACACAATAATTTGTCTGGTGACAGCCATGACTGCCTCTGGCTTATCTGGTGTGGGTCTGAACCTTTTTCTTAGCTAGTTTTGGAGCAAAAAGGTCAGTGATATCCATTACTTAGTAGTGTAACAGATGTGGCTGATTTTTTGGCACAATAAGAATTGTGCAATTTTAAGTAAGATTTTTACCTGCCTCAAATCTCAGTGTTTTCCCTTCTGATCTTGCATTGAAAATTGAATTGTGGGCGTTTATTTCAGCTGTTCTAGAAAAATGTGACAAGTAGCATTGATTTAAATTCTAAATAAAAAAATGGAAGCAAAGCCCTTACTTAGATGCAAAGACTTAGTAATGAGAAAGCAAAATAATGCATAATTTAAAAGCCAATACAATATTTGTTTCTATTGTTGATATTTGTGAAAGCTGTACTGTGAATGAAAGGAACAGGTGGTTTAAAATTAGAGTTACCTTGGGATCATGCTGTGACTCTTCAGGTTAGTGTCTTGCTTAAAGTACAGTGAATGAACTGCCAAATGAAATTGTGAACCAAATTTTAAGGGAAAGTGCATGTTAAGTTGTATATGTATTTGCAGATGACATTATGTGCTTTTCAAACATTTTTTTAAGCACACCATGACTTGGGCTATTTTTATGGCTCAAGTTATGTAGCTGCACCGGACGGCAGTAGGACCCCAGGACTGTCTCGCACTCAGGATGGACTTCTGGTCGTAGAGATGGATCTAAATCTCTGCAGACAAGTCAGTGACAAATGGAATTTTAAGGTAAGCCTTACGATAAAGAAACAGCCCATTTTTAAGGCCAAGTTACATATGATATTAGAACAGACAGTTTTCATGATGATCATATAATGCTACAACAGCTAAAAAGGAAGCCTTTGTTCAGCAATCCAAAGCTTTAATTGGCTTTTCTGGAGGCCAAAAGCGCAAATAGACAGACGTGTTCAGGGAAGCTAGGACAACAACTTTTAAATGGAAAACTTGGCCTTTGGTCCCTAAGTGCTGATTGCCAGAAACTTGAAGGACCAGTAGGGGAAGTGTTATTCATGTGTGGCTTTCTTATAATCTGTTCCTAAACCATTTACTGGTGAGCTATGCATGACCTTAGGTCTGACCTACTGTGGCAGGTCTTTATATACTGATAGGCATTACTTGTCAGTTTGTGTGGAATTTATTCAAAAAAAAATCCAGACCCCCAAGAATCTTAAATAATTATGCTTATAAGAACTTTCTGAATGCTAACTTCTTGGCAGTTAACTTCCTGAATTTGATGACACGTTGAAGCCACAAAGAAAACAACTGTCTACGTTTGTCTCTGAGGCATCCTAACTCCCTTTAGAATTAAGCTAAACCAGATTAAGGTGACTGCAAGCATCTCCAAAGGACTTTAACATTGAAGTTTAACTTTTTTTTTTCCCCCCCTAATTCTCAGCCAAAGCTAATTTGGATAATCTTTCCTGAGGGTGTAATTTGATACAATTTCTTCAGCAGCAGCATTGGTTTAAGAAGTTGCCATCTCAGCACAGCAGTTTGTTAACCCTTCGGTTGTGCTAGTACAAATATCTGGGGGGCTGTGTTATATACCGCTTCAGTGAAGTGATGCAGATTTTTAAAAAACCCCAAACTATTTTCTTCTTTCAATCTGATTCAGTTTTCAGCAAGCCCCACAAACATTGTGCTAGTACAACAAAGAAGGCAAGGAACAAGCAAAAGGAGAAAAGAGAAGAGAACTTATTAAACAGGCTATATTGATGAAGAAAACACCTTGAATTCTTCTCTGGAGACAGGTCTTTAATTCTAGCCCTTAATACTGCTAAAGTCTAGAACTTTTTCCTATCCCCTATTGAAATCAACGTGGGATTTAAATCCTAACAAGAAATGAAAGGGCTAAAGTTCCTGGCTAGCAACTATCACAATATATGTAGGTTCTTCAGTGATATTACTAGTATTTAAAATAGCCATTTGTAAGGAGTCTTAAATTCTGCATGTAACGTTACTCTAAACAGAGGCACTTATTTTATAGAGCTAGTTTATCTGGAACCACTTTGTGCATTATAATATTGAGCAACATTTAATGTATTCTGATTTCAATAGGATATAAAAATACAAGTTTTCTGTAGGTTTAAAATGCTGAATAAACTTTTAAATCAAAACTAAGACGTGGTCATTTCCTAGCTAAAGTTGAATTTCTTTCTTAATGCTGCTAAACAGCATATGGGGACTAAAGACAAAAAATAATTTTAGGTCTTTGTACAGAATTGCATTTGTTTTTTGCAGATGCTTGTGATAAGTATGAGGTTGTTAACGTAATGTACTTAAATTCTGCCGAGAGATCCATTGTTTTTTAAGGCAGGCCAGTGCCTTACCGCTGAAATCTGAGGTCCTTTTTGCAGAATGTAGAGGTGGTAGGTATTATGTCAGGAAGCAGACGGAGCATTGCTTGTAACAGCTTAGTAGGGGCATCCAAACAAAAGCAATTGTATTGAGTAGGAAAAACAAACAGTACAAGCAAAACTGACCTTTAGCTGTTTTGTATAAAATTTTGTTTATTTTTGTTGTCTTCAAGTCTTGTGCTTTCAGCACATTACAGTTTTGTGTGCATGGTGTAGATTGCTGTTGCTGATCTTTTGACATATGAAAAACAGCTCTGGCTTTTGTTTATATGACAGGGAATATTTATTTCCTTTTCTTCTAATTTGTGGCAAAGACAGAGGTAGTTCTTGATATCAGGGTAGCGAGGAAGTATGAAGTCGTCATTTACCTGTTGGAGGAAACCCTTGATAGCAAGTAGGCACCTATTTAACCTGCTCCAGTATTTGCTGTTTGCATCCAGTGGCACCTAAAGAGGACGTTAGAAGAACGTTCTTGCTAAATTTATTAGCAGCAGAATAGTTAACGAATTGTCCTTATTACATTTTAAAATTTACCTTGGTAAGAAAGAAGCAGTTCACCCGTCGGAGTCAGCGTTGCAGACTGTGCCCTTAGGAAGAAGATAGCACTGTATCAAGTGCTGTAATTCAGCCTCTTAGCTTACTGTAACACCACAAAGCAACGTTAATATTTTGTGCTATTAATGGATAAAGTGGCTACAGCCCACATACCCTCAATGACACCTATGCAAACCTGTTGCTTGCAGCAGGGCTCATCACTTATTATGGAGAACATAGCCTTGAAGTTGAAACTACTCATGTAACACAAACCATTCACCCCACAGAGTGAGATCTCAACAACAGGACAGAGACAATACATATCTAAGGAGATAATATGAAGACTTAATTACAGGTACCATCCTTTGCCTTCATTGGCATAACCAATTTAAGAGAGACTTTTCTTGATATACAAGAGAGAAAATCCAGCTTTCACATTCAGCTTTTGGCTATCTAGGATAACCAAAGTAGTTTTAAGTAATTAGTTGACAAACATGACTCTGTTCACAAAGGAGAACTGCTAGACAGGAAGGTTCATTTTAAACTTTTACTTTTTAGAGTAGAAGTGCACTTCTACTGTTTTGGGAGTAGAAGTACAGTTTTAGGCAACATGAGTTCTGTAATAGTTTGTGCTAAGGCACTGGGGATCTTACAAATTGAGTGAATTATGATGTTACTGTCTGGACAATTAAATAATATGCCTTCATCAAAAAATGGTGGGCATCAGTATTTTCTACTGAAGTACTTTCATAGCTCAAATACAGAATTTAAGCTATGATTTTCTTTTCCAGATGACTGGTAGATATGAAATGTATGCAGAAGAGCTCAATGATGCAGTCCAGCCTGATTTTACACCCCATGTAATCAAAGAGTAAGTCCTAGAAGAGATCATCTCAACGCAGTGAAATTAAAAGATACTATTGGATGAAAGATTTATTGTGCATCACAAGTTATTTTAATGTTGTCATTTTAATTTCTTGTAACCAGCTTTTAAATGATAGCATTCAAAACTGTGCTAAGTAAAATAATTTAAAACAGCATCTTGGGTTTTTTGGTCATTTACACGAATGTTTCCAATCTTCAGTTATTCCTTACTAGAAATGTAACAAGCGAGCAATACGCTGATATAAAATGATGGTGAATTTTTTCCAGTACTGTGTACAGGCTATGTAGTTTGATGTAAAGGATGACTTCAGAGGAGATTAAAATGTTTAACTAAGCTTTTTAAGGTATTGCATAGTGTATGTCTATTTACTTCTGCTTCCCAGTTTTTACTCTCCACCCAGATGCTTAATTTAGGGAGAATGGAGGAGACATAATTGTTTTTATCTTTTCTTTTTTTTTTCTTCTCAATTACCAACCATTTGATGTGTCCTGGTTGTTTGAAGGTCTTTGTGTACTGCACCCACTAAAGGCTTCCATGTATCAAGCAAGACCACTTTGGTCTTTTTATTTCCTTTTACCCTACATATTACAATCCCAGTTGCAAACAGTGCCTTTGAAGGGCCCTTTCAGGGTCCAGAAGTAGTGCTGGAGACAGATGCTTTTAACACCTCCAGCAGCTCAGTGCTATGTTGCAAGACAAAAATACAAACACTGGTTAAACAGCACAGACTAGGCTGGTGCAGTTGCATGCCTGTCATTACAAACAGAAAGCCAGAGAGATACTATTAGGGATCAGCTCAGAATGGGTTCTGAAAACTACTTTCCAGGAGCTGCACTCTGCTGTGATACTCATTGGCTGTGGAATACACAGAACAGCTGTCATACCTAGATATCTAACAACAATATACGGGCTGCTTTGAGTTTATAGCACGTGTTGAAATTTTGTTTTGTTCAGTTCAAGTGATGTAGTAGGTATTTAGGAAGCGCATAAGGAATACAATTTACAGCCTAACAACTATTAATTTATAGCTGAAATAAATATTTAAACTCTTTAAAGAATTCCAGATTACAATTTCAGCTGTGTTACATCTAGCTTAGTGTGTAACACTTCCTCTAAAGATTTTTCAGCATTTTTGCATAGTAAACCAGTTAATAAATACAGCTGCTACATTATGCTACAGGGTTATCTGCTCTTTTAAACCTTTATTGAGAATGGCTTACTTACAAATAAAAATATATTTATGTATAAAATCCCTGCATGTGAAATATCCCTTTCTTTGCTATGGGCATAATGAGGAAATGAAGTGACAGACAAAACATTCTCAGAATGAGTATTTTCATAAGCAATCTTGTCATGGAAAACAAAGTTTCAGAAAATGTCAGCGTTCTGAATATTTGCCCAGTGAGCTTCATTTTAATCTGAATTTGAATCATGTAAAAACTCAGTGTTCTTTTTGGTTGGCTTCCTCCTCTTCCTTCTATTTCCGTCTTCCATAACTATTTTCCATCTGGCCATAAGAAATCCTATTGCAATGGGTAGAGCTCTAATTTTGTCTTTATTAGCTTAAATGGCTTTTTATCTTTCACTTCTGTCAACTATTTGAACCCTGCCCTGCGTACCAAACACTTAACAGTCAATAATGTTACACCCATCCGTGCATTTTAGACTATTTAGCATATCCTCCAGTTCATGTTTTATGTACAGTTCAAGATTTACATTTGAATAACTGAATCCAGTAAGAGGCTAAACATCAGTTATAAGCCTTTTGTAAGAATTGTTTTATTTAGCTAAACCAAGCTCATTCTAAAAATAAACTTTGTGGCAGTTTAATGGTATTGAATTGGGTTAAGGGAGTAGCTTATCAACCTGTAGTTTACACACCTGTTAATAAGTAACAAAGCTAATACAATCTCTCTAAATCAAACACCGTGAAGTTGGACTTGGACATAGAGTTTCCCAAATCAGTAGCATGCTGGTGGCTTATTTTGGAGTCAGAAGGCATTATCGATGACAGGTTTTGGACTCTGGTCTTTTTCTGGGATTCTACTGATGGCACTAGTGTACTGGTTCTACTGCTCACAACTCGCACCCTAATTTTTAGTTATCTTGGCATGTACAAGGTCCAGAATGTGTTCCAACTTGGACAACAATAAGCAAAATCAGATATACAATAAGTTTCTTGTCATGTGCTTTTGACAAAACTTTTTAAAGGCTGCTGCATTTTTAACATCTGTTGTTGTTGTTGTTGTTTTTTAGCCTTTTTGGCTCCTTCCCAGGTACTTTTCAGTAAGTCAGCAACTGATGGAAGAAAATGTTTTCTCTTACAAATGTTATCTTTTTATCATGCTGGAAGTAGCGATTCCTATTTATTATTTACACCACTAAGTAGCAATGTCTTTTTGTTGTTATTCTACACAGTTCTATTCTTAAAACCATGCCAAAGGTGTGGGATCTTCACCTTAAGTGCAAAACAAAATTTTGTTAGCTTTAATTTAGTATTAACATTTCTTTTTCTACCAATTTTAACATAGGCAGGACTGGCGATTTAAGACATGTAGGAAACTGTGATGGCTAAGTCTGAATTAAATGGATATTTCCTACACTTTACAGTGCTCCTCCTCAAAGTAAGTAAACTAAGGTAATACGTGAAAGGATTGTGAATGGGCTGGTATCTAATAATTTAACTCAAAAAGGTATTAACACAGAGGGCAGTTGCAATTTAAGCCAAACAGCGGTAGTGTAAGAAGAGCTAGAAAACCTGAGTTCCTGCCTTTTTACTTCAGCCAGGAAAAGTCTGTATTCCCCAATTTTTCATTAGTTTCAGCTCTTCTTAGGTCACTAAATTAATATCAACAGCAAAGTGTGGTCTCAAATTACAATTCAGGCTTTGAGTTGAAGTCTGGTCTCTTCTGTCAGGTGTTTAAAAATTACTCATAAAAAATGTATAACATTAGTTTGCGGACAATCATTTTCTGTATTTGTTTAATCAGTTTAAAGTTTGTATTTAGACTGGATACTGTAAAAACTGGCACATGTAGGTGGCATAACATACAGAAGTTCTTGCAAAGAACCAGAAAGACTCTTAAGGCTAAATAAAAAGTCCTCGCTTAATCTTTTGGGATAATATAGAGCTCTGGGCAGTCATTCCTAGAGGAGTTAAGTCAAAAAAGACACTAAGTATGTAGTGCAAGGGAACAGTACCAATAGGTACACTTCAGAACTTAATCAGTGACATAAACGCTAAAACTGTTTAAGGTGAATTTCAGAAATGGGAGGTTTCCTTGAGTAAATGTGTTTCAGTCCTACAGTGCAGACAATGTTGATAAACCACATTTAAATGGTGAAAATACTTTGTTGGCTTAAGTTTTTTCCTTCCACAATATCCCGCTGAACTTCCGATTTCTAGATTTAGAATGAAGATCAGCCCTGAGGCTTTGAAAGAAAGAGAGAAACAGGTATTTGCTATTTTTCCCTGGTTTTGTTTACCTAAATCTGTGCATGTATTCCTAAGTGTTTAAGTTCATAAACCTGTTGCTTTTTTCTCATGTGTTTAATTGGAAAATAATCTTAAGCCAATAGACTCTGGGCCTGCATTTTAAAACTGCTGTCAAATGTGCAGTATTAAAAAGGGGAAAAAATGTCTGACATACATTGCAAAATCAGATAATTCATCAGGAATAAAAAGATGAAGACAGCATTGCAATATAGTCCTATCAATGTCTATAAAGCCTCCCTTGTTGAAGATCCCACTGCAATTCAGAAGCAAGGTCTCTGCAGAGGGGGGGTCCTGAGACAAGCAGCCAGCTGCCATGCAGGCTGCACCAGAAATGACTGGAAGTATCAGGTGTGGACGTCAGCTGTCTGTGTAGATAAAGAGAATATCCTCATCTGTGCCGTAACTTGTCCTGGCTTCCTCAAAGTTACTGATGCTGGTGCTGCATGTTCCTGTTAAGGAGGAACAAAATATTAGTAAAAAGTCAGTCTGCAGAATTTGCCTATGAAAGGCTCTTGTCTAGCAGTTTCTACAAAGAAAAGTAACAATTCTCATGCAGACTAGAGCTATCAGCTTTACTCATTTGAGTAGCTGTTCTCATGAGCCTCAAAGGCAGTGCTCAGCACAAAATCAATGAATGTGGCAAAACAACTTCTGACCAACTGGTTAGTGATACCTGAAATACATGCATACTATATTACAGGAAGTCCAGCTGGCTCTGTATTACTGACATGTTAGTAATGAGGTGGGTGAGAACCCACCAGAAGGAAGCAGCCACCAGAAGGAAGCAGGACTCAGCTACTCACGGTCAGCATAGGCAGGGTTGTTGTAGTAAATGCTCCCTGAGGCTTTGTTGTAGCCACACAACACGATGAAATGACCCTGGTAGTCAGGATTCCTGCAGAAGCACTTCTGCCCGATGGGGAGGAAGCAGCAGTATTTGACAGGACTTGAGCAAAGATCACACAGTAACAGAACTGCGTTCACTAGGACGATGGCTATGTGACCTTGGGACAGATGTTTTTGGATGTCTTGAACAGTTACTGTGCTGCAGAAAGAAATCAGACACATGTTTATTAGCGGTTTAGGAAAGATGCCAATATTCGGTAAAGTGTGTGATGATGGACAGTATTTATGACATGCAGCTGGCGTGATTATTTTTACATATCACAGGTACAGCTCTTCGCTGTTAAATCCTGAAGGCTTTGCTACCGCAGGAGACAAAACCTATGTCATTTAAGGCCTTCTAATCCCATTGCTGCCACTGAAGTGCAGAGCATCAGCTCTGGACTCTGAATAAAATAAATGTAATCTCAGGATGTATTAGATGCCCTGGAGAAGAATATTAAAGGAGCTGGCCACTCATTCAACAACTGAGAGAATTCCCTTGTGGGAAAATCAAAAGTGAGTCTTCCCTCCTGCTCTTAAAAAAAGCTCGTCTCTGAAGCACCAAATGTGTATTGACTGAGTAGTTAAAGTTTTATAGTCACGAACCATCTTAATATGTGCCCAAATTTGCTTCTGTTACACAGGATTACGCATCTCTCCCAGTTGTAAGTTTGGGCTACTTGGTTCTCTATTCTTGTAATGATATATTTTCTATAATGCTTCCTACAGAGAATGAATATTAACCAAACATAATCTATAATCTCATCTATTAGAGCTGTCCTTTATTGAGGCAGATGGTATAGTCCATACGCATTGGAACTCATCTCTGGATAGGTTCCAGATGTTGAGGCTGTGTGCCTGACTGAATTGATGTACTTTTAAATCTTTTCCAGCGTCGCTTCTCCTCTCTGGCGCCCCAGCCTGAGCAGGAGATATGTGCTCTGTCCCTGCCCAGATCAAGGACTCTGTCTTAAGATTTCTAAAGAAAGAGGGCCTGACTGTCCCGTCTCTCTGGTCAGTTTTAGGTAAACAGATGGTGCTGTACAGACTATATAAGTTAAAAGGACACTAAGGATTCTGTTAAACGCAAGGTGCATCGCAGCATTCAAATAGGTATTGTGGCTGCCCTGTGCCTTTCTCCTCTCTTCTTACTCCTAATCATTCACCCACTTAGATAACAGAAAGCCAAATCCAGATCCACTCTAAAAAAGGGATGCAAATTGAGCTGGACATGGATGTTTAGTTATTCCCCATCACTATCAGTTACAGGTTGTGAAACAATTCTGCAATTTTTCCCCTTCTCCTGGGTTTGCAGTTCTTCTGTAGGGATAGCTCTTATCATTTCACACTTCCCTTGGCAAAAGCTCACATGCCTGCTTTGCCTTTGCCTCTCTGTCTCAGGACAGAGATCTATAATGTTGGCACAGCAGCTGAGAACAATGGGTTGTACGACCACATAGCATTCTCCTTCATTCCAATGACAGCAGTACTTATCAGTGACCCACTAGAGCACTGTAGGCACTCCCTACTGGGTTGCCTTAATGGAAAATCAATTCCAAAATTTAAATAAGCAACTCTTGTCCAGCGATTTGAAATCACTTACCATTCCGTTTCATGACTCTGTTTTTCCTCAGACATTATTTAATCTTGATGTCCGCTCTTTTGAGACAGACATGGTAAAAAGACCCTGATTCACAAAAAGGCTCAGGATCTGATTTCAGTCTGTCTTACACCAGTTGATGATTCCAAGAAAAGCATCAGGCCCACCATTTCCAAAGAGAAAGGAGTGAAAACAATAAGCTTACCACTTCTCCACCAGCACCTTGCAGGCTTTGGCTTGTGCAAAGAGCTGATTCACTCGATTCTCTTCTGTGTCAAAGTGCTTCCTGTAGAATGACTGTGGAGAGAAGAGAACTATGAACTAGGATGAAGTTTACCCGAGTTAATCTAGTTAATCCTTGCTAGCAAAGGCCTGCATGAGTTAAGAGATCTAGTTATGGGCTAAGAGGTCTCTCCTTTAGTTCACTGGTAATAGGACAAGATTTCCTGCTCTAAATCATCAGTTCAAATACGCTCCTGGTCAGTTCTTATAGTCTCCATCCAGTGGCTATTCAGCTTCCTGCATGAAGGAAGTCGGACCGGTTTGTAGTGGGCAGGAGCCTGCATCAGAAAAGCTATTGCCTGAATAGGCACTCGTGGGCCCCCTTGTTAGCGATCTCGAAGAGGCCAAGCTCTGAACGGACATGGAGACTGAGTTCCCCTCTCACCTCTAAAGGTGGTTCCTCCAGGTCAAGGTTGAGGCACGGTGGTGGGGGAAGTGTGGAAGCTAGCACTGCCGCTGCCCAGGCTGTCTGTACCTGTTCTGTAGATAAATAGAGGGCTTCAGTCTCCGAGGCTGTCAAATAGGCTGGAACCTTTCTTGAACACTAAATGAAAACTCTTCTTTAAGAGTTCATATTATGGAATCAAAGATGGAAAATATCTGGGATCATATCTAGCCTCGCCTTGAGAACTGATTCATGGCCAGTTTTGGCAATAGGCAAATCTGGTTTACAGCAACTGTGGTTAATGCTCAGTAACACAGCAAAGCTTTTATAGCATGATACACAGGGCTCACTTTTAACACTGCGTGCTGTTTCCCAGTGAATAGGAATGCTAACCTGGTTTTTGTAGCCCTTGTCCACGCCAAGTGTCTGGGTGCAAAATTTATGCTTAACACCAAAGTGTCGCATAAGGTAAGCCAGGTCAATGGTCCAGATACTCTTTGTTAACCGGAGTTCCTGGATCGCTTTCTGAAATTCATCATTGTCCAAATGATTCAGGTACCTAGGGTATTAGAAAAGGTAGGGGAAGGGAAACACAGATCTTAGGAGAAGCAAAGTGTGCGCAGTAGCCCAAGACTCCACATCACAGGACGGAAGAACTGAAACAACGGGACTGGCTAAGAAATAACCAAAAAGCAACCCACAAATGAGCCCAAAATTAAAGGAAGGGAAGGGAATAAGGAATATTTAACTGGCTTTATTGTTGACTTTTTTATTGGAAATGTACAGGTATCTCAATTGTTTTATAGTGCTAAAAGTATACAGGATGCTGTACAATAGGTAAGCTATAGTGAGCAAGGGCAGAACTCTATTCTGAAGGGGTTACAGTCTGAATATACATAGCAACATAACAGCAAGCACAGGAGCGTTAAAGACTAAAACTTGCTTCACAGAACAGGTGGATTTCAAAAGTAGGAACTGTAAAGGCAGTTGATAAATAGTCAAAGGAATTTTCTTAGGCACTGATGGTGCAAAGGGCAGATAAGGTTAGGAGGAAGCTTAGGTCAGGTTGCAAAAGGGCTAGGGAGAGGCAGTTACAGAGAATTCTGGAAGTCAGAAAACAGATGGAAATAAATGCAAAAAAGAAAAAGACTGGAACTGAGGAAGCAGGGCAAACAAGGTCAGATCAGCAGGGTAAGAAGATTAATCTTGAAAGCTGAGTTTTGGGCAGACTGGAATGGCAACGAGGGTAAAGGGAATGAAGAGGCAGAGGTTACAGTAGTCAAGATGGGAAATTACCAGCACACGGACTAACGTCTTGGCAGTAGGGATGGAGAGAAATGAAAATCTTCTGCTTCATATCTACTAAGTGGACATCTAAATAGGTATTTCTCCTGCACCTAAGCTCATGTTCCTCTGTGGAAGGATAAAAAAAAAAAAAAAAAAAGGGCAATACAGTGCATAGCCTTGAAGTTGAAACTACTCCTGGAACAGAAACCCTTCACCCTACAGAGTGGGGGCTCAACAGGACAGGGGCAATATATATTCATAAATACGGGATAAACCTACCAGCCACTTGAAAACACGCAGAATGGAAGTAAGAGAACTGCTGTGGTAAAAGCTAGTTCCAAATTATAACAGAAAAGAGGGATAACTTTTACTAGCTTAAGCATGCTAACCTGCAAAGATCTTAGTGCTAGTCAGATATTTTGCATCAATCAAAGCAGTTAATCATTTAAAAAGTCTTAAAATTTGTCCTAGTTTGTATTTTCCCTTGCTCTTGCTGGAGAGCTGTGCTAGACCCTGGCAGCAGTAATCCTCCAAAGGTACTTGAGACTATATGCTCTCACGATACTGAAGTTAAATTCACAGCTGCTTCCACATATCCTTTCTCCCTGGACATTGATTTCCGACTTCCCATGGGATGGGATTTCCAACCCCTTGAAGCCAAAAAAGTTACTTACTGTAGTACCATCCTGGAGCAGGCTAGCCCACAGTCCCAGTGGTACAGCTGCTGGATGACTGGCACTTTCAACTGGATGCAGTCAACTGCAGTGAAAACAACACTTAGTAAAACATGGAGGATGTCAACCCGCATATACATGTTTTTCCGTACCTCAGCATTCAAAGCCAATTTGCTGTCTTGCAGGTACACTCAGCACTATAGTGGGGGAAACTTAGGAACATTTTTTATTTTACCTGATTGGCAGGTCCTTTTTCCTAAGGGGATGTAGGTTTGTTTGGTATTTCTGTAGAGTTAACCCTCACGTGTCTGGTTTAATGTCATATTATTGTTACATATTTGGATCACTGTGCAGTATTTTATTCTTTTTTGTGGTGGTGACACATCCACCAGCCCCTAGTTACAAAGCTGTATCCCCTCCTAACTAGCAGTAGATAAGGCACAGCTATTCATCCTTTGTCATGTGTCCAAAACAGTCTCTGAATGTACTTCTGTGCCACAAAAGGTGTTCAGCCAGACTGTGATAAAACAGACACAACAAAGATCTCCTCCAGCCACCTCTCTCTCACAAGCCCCACAGAGCTGAGCCTTTTCTACAGATGTGTCTTTTTTCCTCAGGGACTATAATTTATGTGAGTAATTTTAAGTTACCGAACCTCACAAATGACACTAGTTGGCCTTTCGTGTTATATTCTCTCAAGGTTTCAGAAAAAGAAAGAAGAAAAATCTCTACTGGAAAGTCCATAATTCCATCTTTCTTCCTCATTTTTCATTTTTATAGGCTTGGGGCAAGTGTGATGGTTTCAGTCTCAGAAGACCCATTATCGTTTGAATTTGAATGACTTAGTGTTTTTGCAGGTGTTACTGTTATTTCAACCTTAATCAGAGTAAGCTAGTCTTAAAGGGCTTTTCTCAATCCCTTCACTTTTGACTAGAAAAGACCTTTGAAAGCTGTTAACACAAGGTCAACTACACTTCGGCATGAAGATAAAAATGCATTCCACATCATGTGGACTGGTCTAGTTTTGATAAAATTTTATTTGTAAAACTTAATAAGTAATGTCATTCGTAACAATAATTTTGTATTATTTCCTAACAAAGCTATAGCCTACAGTAGGCACAAGCCAATATAGATATTTTGGACTCTTCAAAAATATTTTTTCGTAGTTGTGCCCGTGTTTAATCGTGACTTCGAAGACCGGGTATACTTGCTGGTATATTCAGTTGTCTTTGTTAATCTAGATTAAGGTGCTCTTACGTAAGTCTCCTAAAGGGAAAACAAAAAGTCCCAGATCCTCCTCGGACTACCCTCTTTAAATCTTTATTGTTGGTTCTTCCCGGCGTGTCATGAGTCAGTTCCCTCTTCGTTCCTACCTAGGGCCTCTGCCAGCTCCCCAGGTTAATTTAAGAAGTAACGCTGTTTTCTGCCTGACGACTTCACAGACCGACAACGGCTCGTGCTTTTCCAGTTCTCCCGGGTGTCCAGCTCCCGGCCCCGCGGCCTCTCCCGGCGGGGCCTCCCCGCTGCCCCGAGGC